AGTAGAGACGGGGTTTCACCATGTTGACCAGGATGGTCTCAATCTCTTGACCTCATGATCCACCTGCCTCGGCCTCCCAAGGTGCTGGGATTACAGGCTTGAGCCACCGCGCCCGGCCTGAATGGGTATTTTTTTAAAGGCAGAATTGAAGTGTGTCAGAAAGGACCAGAGATTACCTAGTTTATGGATTTCAAGGGTCCAGACAATAGTCTTATTTCATAGATCAGGAACAGACACTTGGAACTTTAAACAGTAACTGTCCAAGTCCAGGTACAGTGGCTCAGGCCTGTAATCTCAGCGCTTTGGGGGACCAAGGTGGGTGAATCGCTTAAGCTCAGGAATTCAAGACTTCCCTGGGCAACATGGTGAAATCCCACCTCTACCAAAAATACAAAAACTTAGCCGATGTGTTCCCAGCTACTTGGGAGGCTGAGGTGGGAAGATCATTTGAGCCTGGGAGGCAGAGGCTGCAGTAAGCCAGGATCATGTCACTGCACTCCAACCTAAGTGACAGAGTGAGACCCCATCTCAAAAAATAATAATAATAAAATTTCAAAAACCAATAACTGTCCAAAGTTACCTAGTAAATTTCTGGCCTAAGAGGAACTAGAACTCAAGCCTTCCAATTCCTAGTCTAATGATACTTGTATTATCATGCTACCTTTTAAATAACATGCTGAAATAAAATTACATCTTTTAAAAAAGGGAATAAGTCTTTATATTATAACAACTGTTCTAGATGATCGAGTTTTCTGGCCAGGCATGGTGGTGCATACCTGTAATCCCAACACTTTGAGAGGCCACGGCGGGTGGATCGCCTGAGGTCAGGAGTTCTAGACCAGCCTTACCGACATGGTGAAACCCTGTCTCTACTAAAAATACGAAAATAAGCCAGGCATGGTGGCATGCAACTGTAGTCCCAGCTCCTCGGGAGGCTGAGACAGAAGAATTGCTTGGACCCAGGAGGCAGAGGTTGCAGTGGACCGAGATCGCACCACTGCACTCCAGCTTGGGCAACAGAGCGATATCCTGTCTCAAAAAAAAAAAAAAAAGAAAGAAAAAAAAAAAAAAAAAAAAAAAAAAAAAAAAAGATTTCGATGCTGTTAATTAAGAGGTTACATCTCTAATCACCTAAAAAAAAAAAGAGAAATCTTCTAAGTGTCAAAGCCTGAAAATTAATTCCCTCACTCACATCACTCTGCCTCCACAAAGTACTCACCATGTTCTTCAAGATATGCCTGGAGTCTGTGGATAAGATCTTGCTTTATGCCCTTGGTCTCCAAACCACGAGCAAGACATTCCTGCTTTAGTTCAGCAAGCTAAGGGGAAAAAAATAAAACTTTTCCTTAGTTAACAGGATATCATCAGTGAATAAAGTGGTAGTTCCCACAAGGAAAAGGAAAAGAAAATGAAATTCCATCCCAAATTACCGCCCTTAATTATATCAAGACTCTGGGTCCACAAAGATGATCCATTTTCCTCTAACAATATTCAATATACAGGAGGAAATGTCTAACAGATGCTGAAGAATAAACATCACACTTTAATAAAAATCTTATCTATTTTGCGTATCTATTTACTGTCACAAATGTCTAGTTATTTTCTTAACATTCTGAAGGGGGAAAAGGGTTTTTTTTCTAAAGATTACTGTGGCAGCCAGCAAATGGGAAGAATGGACCTTCAAGTATAAAATTCAATGATCTAAAAGCAGGTTCTCCTTACCACTTGTTATCTCACATCCTTTATTACAATCTACCAGACAGGTCTAACCACCGTAGAATTAAGTAGATGCATTAGCTAATGTCAACAATGAACTGATTAAAGGAGCTGTGTCAAAATGGCAAGAAACGTCCAATGGCATACCATAAAGTTCTGAAGATTTAAAAATCAGTAACTTGACTAAAGATATAAAAGCTATGATCATCAATTTTACAGACAATGAAAGGAGAACTGATGGATTACTGACATAACTAAGCTTAAAAAACAACACAGAAATAGAAAAAAACACTTCTTCAGGACTAATAATGAGCCAAAATGAAGATTTAATTTAGAAGGAATAAGGTATACACATAAATTCCTACACTTAGATACAAAACTTCAATTATATAAAAACTGGATAAGGGAGGATGGGCTCAATAGTAACTCAAAGGATAAAGACCTCAGAATTTTAAACAAAGGAGGTTAACAGTATGATTTGCTACCGCTACCTACAAGTCATAGGTAACTGAAATACAAAATCCATGATAAATGATGTAATGGTCTTACTGGGCTCTATATTCTTATTTTACGACACACAATGACATGCTGATCCAGAAGAACAGGCAGGAAAGAAAGGCTATAGAAATTCTATGTGCATAAATGAAAAATTTTACAAAGCATTTAGAACAGGGCTTGACGGCTAGTAAGTGCTTTATACTTATTAAGTACTAAATCACTGGTCTCAGATTTCAGAGTTTCACAAATGAATGTATTTTTATTTTCTTTACTCATTTTTAGAGACAGTGGTCTCACTATGTTGCCCAGGCTGAGCTTAAACTCTCTGACTCAAGTAATCCTCCTACCTCAACCTCCAGAGCAGGTGCGACTACAGGTACACAGCACTCTGTCCAGTTCAATGTACTTTTAAATAGGTAGGCTGACAAGGCTGCTTTTTACAATATCCCAATCAGGTCATGGAGCAATACTTCTGCAGTAACAATAAAAATCAATTACTATAAAAATGAGTGCACACAGGCCGGGCGCGGTGGCTCAAGCCTGTAATCCCAGCACTTTGGGAGGCCGAGGCGGGTGGATCACGAGGTCAAGAGATCGAGACCATCCTG